TTTAGCTGGTAATTATAATATTTACATTGCATGAATAGTCATGAATGAATGTTTGCACTATCCATATTTCATCGTGGGGCAATGAAACAAAGGACAGATATCAGACCATTGACTGGCCAATGTGCCCTTAGAGAAAAACGTTTACGCAAAAAGAAGTAAATTTCTGTTACGATAATTCGATTACAAATGGCGATATGCGCCGACAGAGGAATTAAATGAAGCACAAAATGAAAATCCGGCCATACCACAACAGCGCCAAATTCGAATCTTGTCTGAGCGTCATCAGGTCCAAACTCTAAGTAATCGCTGGCAAGAATCGGAACTGTAACAAGAAAAAAACGCACGCATTCTGTAACACGGAGCATCCTATAAAATAGGCAAACAATAGCTACTAACCAACAAGAAAAATCGAAAAGAGGCTTCTCATTCTTTCAGAGCAGATCTCTTGCTCTCACCCCACGAAATCATCGACATGAATGAACAGAGCGTCAAGAGAGGAGACTGAACACTACTCTCTTTGTTATTGTATCGCGGGCTCAGAGAAGGTTCAAAATGGCGGTGTTCGTGGAAGATGAGGACATAAAAGTCTTGGTAAGAATTTGACACAGATGGGAATTGTAGCGAATTTAATCTTTAGGTAGCTGTTTACACGACTCTCGAGTTAACTGCTTTGTTTCTGTTATGGATAAAGAGACTGGAATTTGAGTGGTTGCTAAAGGAACATGTACCCAAAGTTCTGACCCAGCTGGGAACCATTTTACAGGTAAAACGTTATTTGCTACACCTCAATGACGCTTTTTACAGGAGCGTAGCCAGGAGTTTTCAAGGGTGGGGGGGTACACTGTCAAAGTGAGGGTACTCACCAGATTGTCATGTTGTTTTCGCCACCTGTTGTTGTAGGTTTGTTTTAAAAAGGCTCACNATAACCAATTCCCTGACTCGAAAATCGTGCCCGTGAAGACAGGGAATATTTGCTTGTTTTTGTATGAATTTTCCACATTGTCTGAGTGATTGACACCTATCAAAATGGTTGACCACAGAGTGGAAGGCTAGGCATAGTCAAGGCATTTAAACTGAGACTCTCTGTTGAAATGCCTCACTTGTTAACACTTGTGGATGGTCAAAAGAGTTATTAAAAGTCATTCTTTTAGTAAATTTACCAAGCAGATTCAGTCAACTCTCAATCTGAAAGGGACACCCTTTGGTCTCTATAATATTAGCGAGTGTCAACAATAGCGGGATATGAGGAAAATGACCCAATTCAGAGCTGTCATTAAGTTTTGATTTATCTGTAGCCTTGATCTTCATAGCATGCGAACGCAGACATATTTCCAGCTGT